TCCATCATTTGAACATTTAGCCAAGAGTAAGGTCTGTTGTTAGCGCTGAGACCACATCTTTGAGGGTAAGTATGGTTTTTACCCTCGAGAAGTTAACAAACTATGTGAATACAAAAACATGACCCATCGAACAACCAGGGAAATAGGAGAGAAGGACACAGTTACACGTTAACTGTGTGGTGTAAGCTGGAGGCATCGTGAACATAAAGGAAAGAGGTCTCAATTGTAAAAAGGTGGTGGGTTAATACTTCTGGGAGAAGACTGATAGAAAGATTACCTAAAACAACAAGAACAAAAAAGACTTTGCAATCTTAGCTTAAGGTTTCTGGAGATTTCTGACTTTGCTTTCCAAACTGGATCTTAGCTAGCAAAGTTTTCTTTTTGAACTGGGATGTATCACCGACTGTCTAATCTGAACCAATTGCTAATACATTCACAGAGTTAAATTGTGGGAATAATTTTTGCAAACCTTCCCCAGAGAGAAAAAAATTCTTTGATTTTATTTTTAACTTTGCAACAAATTGACATCTTTTTAGATAGGGATTTCAGTCGTGCAGCTGAAAAATGGAGTCATAAGAGACACATTTTTCAAACGGTTTTCGGTCAGTTTTAACTCTTTTCAATATTTATGTCAACACACAGCTCATAAACACCATCCCATGTTCTCCTTCTAACCCTCATTTCTTTGATCTACTAACCAAGTAATGGAGAAATTAAACCCAAAAAGAATGTTTCCCAGGCTCAGGAACCCACATAGCAAGAGATGATGTCAGGGTAAGCTCAAATTTAAATTAATTCCCAACCTTTCCTGTACCTGTGGTCAACCTCTCATTTAGCTAATCTGGACAAAACTGATCTATTAAAATAACTTTGAAGATGGTTGCTGGGCTTTCTGCCTGCCAGCAGATAGAGGTCTGAGATATATAGGGCAGTCGGTCTGCCTGATACTTCAAATAAGGTCTAGAGAGGATGCTGGTATCACAGAAAGGCATCAGAATTGTTTTTCATTCATTACTTGAGAAATGTGCAGCTCGCTGCATTGCTACTGACCCACGTTTCCCATACTTCTGCCCCTAATTGTGTGTTGACGCTGTTCAGGCTTCTGTTTATATTAGCTATCTGATGTCCACAGGTCAGATGAACAGACTTTGAATCAGATTCGTGTGGGCTCCATGTACAACAGTTCATCTTTCAGCTTGGGAGGAAACCAGTGGGAGACAACCCAAGCCATCCCACGTAAACAGACAGAAGTAAGGCCCCACGTGCTTTTTCCACTATGGACCTGTTCTTACTCATTTCTGCTTAAGGAGATGACACCTACGGACAGGAGGGCAGATAACTGTGTTTGCTGTTTCACAGTCAGACCATTTAATGACAGCGTGTCACTTCATTTCTTTTCTTTATTTGTTTTTCTCATGTGCTGGTGTATTTCAGCCCGGAGATTTTTCATTCGGATGCACCCAGTGCCAAGAAAGGCCAGGGGAAGGGAAAAAGGACGACTGCTACCTGGAAGATCTCGCAGAAAGGTCTGACAAGGAAGAAGAATGTATTTTTTTTCTGATGGGAACAGTTGTTTGCATGAAAATTTTAATTGTTATCAGAACTTCAGCAGAGGAAAAGGAAAGGTAATTAGATAAAGGCCTCAGGTTAATTTCCATCATCACCAAGAGCTTTACACCACTGACAAATTCCAAACATATAAAGAGATGTCAATCTTGCTTTTTAGACAGAAAAAAAAAAAGGGTGGGGAGTGGTGGTGCTTCAAAGCTGTCAGCAGAGGAGTCAGTCAATCACAGATCTGATTTAGGTCTTTAACTCCTTGAGGTAAAAGGCAGATGGTGGGCA